ATGTAAGCTATTCTGTTGACCTGTGCTTTAATGCTGTGCTGTATGCTTTATCTCTTTTTGTGACCTTATTTGCGGACAGGTAAAAGCTGTAAACTAAGCTTTTTAAAGTATGCTTGGAACAGGGAAATTCACTGCTTCATGGCTTTATTCTTTTTGTAGAAAGCGGTGGCCGCAAGTTAAATGAAAACAAAGCATTGACCTCAAAGAAGGCAGGGTTAGTATTTAATACTGTTCTTGGCAAAAAAAAGTCAGTTTTCTGTAACTGAGGCCCGTTTCCTGCATATTTGGACAACTGCTCAAAATTCGTCCAAAATCCACTTTGAAAAAAAAAAGAAGTAGGGATTATGACATTTGATTAGTTGGCAAAAGTATGCCCATGTATATTTCATGGGTACTTTCTGCTGAATCACAAAGCCTGAACAATTATTTTACTGCAGTTCTTACTGGCATGGCTATGGTTTGATGCTTTTGTTAGCAGAGGAGCCAGGAAGGCTTATTTTCTGTGCTAAGGTGGCTGGTGCGATCTCTTGAGCATTTTCTTGGTGTCTGGGGGGGGGTGTTCTGTTACGCAAGGGGGCAAGTTCTGTGCTGGAAGGTGTTTAAGTTCAAAATAGCCTAGTATCTTAATAGAAAGACAAGTTAGAAATAATCCTCGTACGTTCCTTTTCTAAATTGCAGCTTTTGCGGACGTTCGTCTTTGCCCTCTGACTTAGACTTTTTAGGATGAGGCAGAGGAAATGCTTTATTTCAAGGTGTATAAATAAACTACTTTTCCTTTTTCGTAGGTTTGATCCTTATGGAAAGAACAAATTTGCAATCTGTCGGATTTGTAAGAGTTCTGTGCATCAGCCGGGGTCTCACTATTGTCAAGGATGTGCCTATAAAAAAGGTGAGTTTCACAGAGTAACAAATTACTCCAGTTTGGTTTGAAATTAGAGAGCAAGTGGAACTTTCAAACTCGTTTTGCCTCATGAAGAGAAGGCTAAGATGAGATTTAATTCCTATCTTCAACTTCTGATAGGAAGGCTTAGAGAAGATGGAGTCAGGCTCTTCTGAGATGCCCAGTAATAGCATAAGAGACAACATACACAGGTTAGAATGTGA